GGGCTGGAGCAGCAGTGAGAATGACGTGGAGCAGCTGGGCAAGAAGGGTGCGGAGGACCTGCCCCCCTTCCTGCGCCACAGGCCCATCAGCCCCTCCTGCCGACGCCCCAACACCCGCCGCTCCCGCCTCTCCCTGGGCGCCTCCGCTGACCGGGAGCTGCTGACCTTCCTGGAGAATTCCGTGGGCAGCCCCGAGGAGGCCAACAAATTCAACAGCTTGCCCCGGAGCAGCCCTCGGCAGGCCCGGCCCGCGTCGGCCTGGAGGGAGTCTGGGGAGCCGAGGGAGCAGGGCTCTGGCCGCACACACAGACCTCAGGCCTCCGCAGGCCAGGAGGGAGCCCCCGACCCACCCTCGGCTTCCTGTGGCCAGCTCCTCACGCCCCAGATGGAAGACTCTGCTCCAGTTTTGCTCCGAACTCGAACTCGGCGCAGCGGGCTCAGCATGCTCCAGAAGAGGAACAGCGAGCCTGTGGGCCTGGCGCCTCCCTGGTCCCCTCCACTCTCGCCACTCGCTCTGGGAATTAAGGAGCACGAGCTGGTGACCGGGCTGGCCCAGTTCGACGTCCAGGGTCCCAAGGACCCAGAGGAGACGCCCCAGCGGAGCCCGACCAACGTCAGTCCAGTGGAGCTGGCGTCTCCGGGGGATGGGAGCCTGCAACCCCTCGGAGCCGGCACTGGTGCTGGCACTGATGCTGGCAACGGTAGCCTGACGCCTGTGGGTACAGGTGCCCAGGGGAGTCTCAGCGCCCAGGAGAGTCTCAGCGCCGCCCTGCAGGGTGACGGCGAGGCCCCTGACGAGCCCAGCATCAACCCTGAGAACAAAGACCCTGGGCCTCTGTTCTACTTCTCGGATACCACCGACTGCTCGCTGACCTTGGACTGCTCAGAGGAAACGAATGCCAGGTCCGGGGGTGGGGAGCTGGGGGAGGCCGGCCAAGGGGATGGCTCTGTGTCCTCTGGGGCAGGGGAGGCAGATGGCAGCCAAGTGTCCTCCAACCCTCTCTCCAGCCCCGCTGGGGAGACCCCTGCTCCTGCTTCTGCAAAGACCGGGCCCAGCTGCAGGGGTGGCCTTTCCAGAGACAGGTCCTCCAAAGGGAAGGAAGTGACCACCCCAAAGAGAAACTCCCTCAAGGAGGCGTCCCAGGGAGCCCCCAAGCCTGGGGCTGTCCCGCGAGGCCAGGGGACAGCGCCCAAGCCCGTGCGGACCTTGACCTCCTCGGAGAGCGAGAGCATGCGCAAGGTTGTGCCCATCTCGAGGGCCAGCAGGGGCTCTTCCGGCTGCAAGCAGCCGCCTCGGGAGCCGCCCAGTGGCACCCAGGAGCCGTGGTCACGCCGGAACTCTGTGAAGGGCACCTCGGACACGTCACCCAAGAGGTCCTCGAA